ACAGTTTGACACCCGACTCACTCTCCAGCTGAGCCCACATCTCGTAGCTCTCGTGCATTAATTGAGTGTAGAAGTCCAGCTCGTAGGCCTTGCGGATGATACGGGTCTGGCCATGCGAGCTTCCACGTGTATGAGGCAGGATGAACTGGAAACGGTGTCAATTTGTAAATCGCTTGAGTAAAATAATTGTGGTTCAAGGACGATCACACGATGTGTGCCTTTATTCTGGATACGTTTCCAGGAAGCGTTTACATTTTTTCAGCCTACTATTTACAGCCTTTATGTTGTTCAAGGCAGAGAGCCTGTCAGTTCACTGCAAAGGCTGTCTATGGGATGTAACCCAGGACTCTATACAGACCAGTATGACATTTGTTGGCCTCTGAGATATGTTCTTTGACAGTACTGAACTATTTCCTGGTTGTGAACCAGGACTAAACACAGTGTTAAATGTGCCAAGTCATTGTGACTGACTTGGCACATTTAAGTCTAGCTTGGACCTGTAATTCTAAACTGAAGTTAAGTTAGTATTTTATTTGTTGTTTTTGTGTTATTATAATTATTATTATCATCCATTCCTGTTCAGCCACTTTTAGACTAAACTTGGTCACTAACATATGTCATGGTAATTGTCTCAACACCACTGCTGTGCAAGATTAATTTTTTTATTTTCTGTTTGTTCCACTTTTGCACACATTGTTATATACCCTATTTATAGCTAACAGTTGGAAACGTTATTATAAACAATGTTTTGTTCTTTCTCATCTGCCATCTCTAACATTAAATTAGGTTCTAAGAGGTTAAGCACAAACTTGTACCAAAATGCATATGGCTTTAATTTGAATTTTAAAAAATTGCTAAATGTGTTCAGGAGTACTGTGATTAACGTTTCTAGATTATATGACATGCATGCAAAACACTAAAAATGTAAGTAATATTATTTACACCCGGATACTTAAAAAGTGTTTATCGTTGCATTAACTGTTTTTAAAAAAATCCTTATTTAAATCTAAACCTGACTAATACGGCCATAATATTACACAGTATATTAATATTTGTGTTCAGCACACACACACACCTGCTCCAGCAGAAGAGTCCTCTGCTTCTTCTTCACCAACTCATGGGCCGTGAAAGAGCCCTGCACTCCGGCCCCGATCACTATACAGTCATATTCGCCTTCAGTCGACATCTTTGTCTCAACTTAAAAGCACCAGCGGACACAAGCTGCCATTTAAACCGACTCAAACCAGTGTGGGCTACGAGAAAGTGGAGGAGGAACCAGCTGTGTCTAAGGGAAAAATAGACCCTGAGTAAAGACTGGCAGGCACATGGTTGCGCTGAATCATGTCAGGACTTTCCCCCTGGTTTTGTGCTCGTAGTTGAGAAGTCGAGAAATAATTGCGTTTCGAAGAACAGATGGAATTTAGGACTGTAAAATAAGGTTTTAGTGTCTGTATACTAGAACAACAGTGCCTGGAAGGTTTGTGAAGGGTAAAAAGACACTCTGCCTTTGTTTACAATGGTAAATTTAATCTAACTGTGTACAAAGGAGGATTCAAATCCCAACCTTCCATTTGAATTTCCTTACAGGCAGGTGTTTAAATAGCAGACAAATTGCTTTTGAAATGTACATGCGAGATAATCTCCTAGAAATGCAACAAATGTGTACATCTAATCCAGTAAGGCTCCTGAACCTTTTGTAATCACACGCAAATTTCAAGGAGAGACTCACTGTGTCTTCTTCCCAAGTATAAACTGTAGTTGGCAAAAGGAATTATTTGCTTTACTACTCCCTGTCGAAAACTGTTTTCAGTAAAAGGTCTCTTGCAAATGTAGAAACCACTGGTGATTGGGGAAAAAGTGAATCTCATGTACCACTTGGAGTCAAAAATAACCCAACATTCTTTTGATAGTTTTTTGAAGTTTATAGTAAAAAATGTCAGTTCTACCTTCAGTCCAACCCATTACCACAAAAGGCAATCCACATTTTTGTTGATGGTTGTGCTTCCTCAATAGGTAACCTATTACTCAAGTGAAAAAAAAGAAGAAAAAAAAAAAGAAAAAAGAAATGTAATAGCTGACAAAGTCCACAAAACTCCATGGTGCAGACAAGTGTGAGTTAGGGTGAAACACACTGACACAGTAGAGCCAGCATTCATTGGCTAAACAGACTGAACAATACATAACAACATATAAAGAAATGTAAGCTTTATATATTGCAATATACAGAAAATATATGAAATGTTCTAGGACTTTTATTTTGTTGAGCTGTAAGTAATTATACAGCGCAGCAGGACCATACTGGTGGAAACAAGTTCCTGTTACTACACTACTATTACAACACACTGACCTATCCATTAGTCTGATGTTTTATTTTAATGACCTCTGGGCACTGTCTTTATTTTAGCACATGTTTTATAAAGTATTTCTACAAACAGTAAATGGCAGCCATGTTTTTTTATTTCTATTTTTCACTTTATTTAAAAAATAGAATTGTATTTTATTGTGAAATGTGCATAAAACATCTTCCATCTAAAAAATAAAAACAATTCATAAAAACATTCAGAAACTGAGCCGCTTCCTGACAGGGTGTGATAGTCGACCAACGTCACTGTTCAGCTGTTGGAAAATGTACCCACACCCGTCCTTTTGAACAGCTGCACAGTGGAGTTTCCAAAAATAAGTCAGTAAGAGTACCATGAGTGGATGAAGGCAATGTTTGTTAGTTAAACTAACTTAAACTCTGACTTCAGTATCTGTATAACTAAAGATCTGTAACTAGCTTAGCATTATTTATAAAAATCAATAGTTGTTAATATTTATATTCTGTTCGATTTTGGTTTGGTTTTGTAAAAGTCGTTTTCGAAAAAAAAAAGTTTTTTGAGAGGTTACAGAACACAACTAAATAGTTTGATCTCTGTGTCTATGAACTGCGTCACTGCACACATGCTCTCTTTTGATGGAAGAGGTTGTTACCACACCTGGAGAATGCTATGTTAGATGAATTGTGGGTAAACAGTGGACTGTGTGGCTAATGGCCTCTGTCGTGGACAGGAGGCTGGGCAGATGGATTGCGAGGCAGGATAGAGCCTTGAAGGGTCAGATGGTCAAACACCCTGCAGTTCCACCATGTCACACACACAAAGTGTGAACCTCCCCACAGTCTCCATCCTGTTACATTACACCACACAACATTAACTCCACTCAGCACACATATCAGCAATGTTGCACGTTTCAGCACATTTGTGTGAAACTGAATTTCCTGCTCGGCTGCTAAACAGTTTTCAAAGGATGCTGTAGTGGATTTACTACATAAGTTCCAGAGCAGGTGGCCTCCATTCATGTTACTACAGTGTGATTAAAGCGATGCCTATATTTTGCATGTGTGCAGTAAAACCACATGGAGTAGGTGTGAGAAGTGAAAATACAGTATTTGGACTTGAAACACATTTTTGTTACGATCAGAGGTCGTGTTTTTTAGAATGACTGTTTTAAAGGGGGGAGGGATTAGAGTTAAAGTTGCATAAGAAGAGTTTAACCCAGGGTGGTTTACTGTGTCAAAGTGCTTCTAAGTAGGATGCATGAGCTCACCAGGGATGCTCATTATACCCATGTCACTTTGCCCCAGTATCAAGTCTGGATAAATGGGGATAGGTGCATTCAAAAAGAAAATTATTAAAATGGTGACAAATCATACGCATCTGTGTGATATTCGCTTCAGAGTCATGTGGTAAAGAAGAAAAATAGAAGATTTAAACTACAGTGAAATAAACTGCACTATTGCAGTATATCTGACGTGTTAAGTAAATTGTTTTGGACAATTTAAAACAACGTTGTAATATGACCAAGAAGTTAATGTTGGACATGTTGTAAAAGTACACAGTCAAGGTCGTGTCCTTTTTCACTCTGGTTTAATATTTAACTTTATTATCTCAGTTTTGCTCTTGTTGTTTCCTTATGTAAGTGCCTTTATCAGTAACTGTTTGACCAGGACAACGTTGGCAGAACAAACACTATCTTTAATGCAGTAATTAATGGTGACAGAATGACGTTTGTCTTTCTTCAACGATTTCCTAAAAAAAGTTGCGGAAACCCTTTTAGTGACTCTCACAAGGTTCACAGAAAGATAAAATGAGTTTTCAGTGCACTGTTTATGATCTGGGAGTGTTACTAGGACACTGAAATCACCATCTGCCGGTAGTGAAAGTTAATTCTCCCTGGGCACGCAGCGGAGGCTTGCCGCTGGGCCCCCAGCAGTCCACGTCCCTCAGCTGTGCATGTAATGTGATGAACGGTGTGTGTTTGAAAAGACAGTCCTCGGCTCTGCAGCAGGGGAGAAAACGCAGCGTCAGGGCATTTTCACTGAAGCACTGCTGTTGTCCATGACATCAGGGATCCTGGAAACAGCAGGGAGGAATGAAAAATATGGTCACCCCATTTATACGTCTTGAATATCAAATGAGGGCATGTGTACAGAATCACTTTTTATGGTTTGAGTGGTATTTAAAACTTGCACACCAGAAAAAAACACAGTAAATAACAGTTAGTATTTAAGAGATCTCACTCTAAATAATATATTGAGCTACATATAATATAAATCTATCTACAGTGTGTATATGTACATATATGTATGCATATATATTATATTAAAATAACATTGATGAAACACTATTGTGTTTACTAGATTAACAGTTAATTTGTTTATCTTTTTAGGATTAAGATTACAATTACCATTAATCGTTCCACCATGGCAATGTTTAAACAGAGCAGTGTCAGAGACAGAATGAGAGGAGGAAATAACATGTAGAAAACTATATTTATTATAGACTGGTATAAATATACCAGGAAGATAAGATTATCACAAAAATAATGCTTTATAAAAAAATAAATCAGCTGTTTTTGTTCCACAGTATTGTTTTTATTCTCAATAAGAAAAAGAGCAGAAACATTCCCAAAGAGATTTGGGAAAACCTCATGTCCAGCTTTGTTTATTTAGCAGGTTTGAAATTCCAAAATCAAAGTAGACACTGGATCATCTGGGAGGTGAATTCAGTGAAAGTTCTTCTCATAAAACTGACATTTTTTAGCTGCAATCCTGGAGACTCAAGAAAACAAATTGGATTATTAAAAAATCTACTACATGGTTTTATAAACAGATCTCCTTCCCATGCAGGGGGAGCGATAGATGTGTACACTGGTACTCCTCCAGAAATAACATAACACATCTCAAAATGTATCCCATTTCTGTTTAAAGAGAAACACCTGCCGTCTACTTTTGTTTTCCTCTGGAAGTTCTTTTAGGAGTTCAGTTCAGACCACAAATAAAAGATGGAACTAACACAGACAACAACGATGCTACAGATCATCACATACAAGGCTATGTTCGAGCACAGTTCAATGCTACAGATCATCACATACAAGGCTACAGCAGAGTTCGAACAAAAATGCAAAACAGACCATAGTAGAGATAAAAGATGTATATAAAAAAAAAAACACAAAATCAAACAGTACAGTCAGAATATTGGTGAGAAAGCAAGCTTAAACAGATCGTCTTGGAGAGTGGATATGAACTATTACCTGAGCTTAGGCAGTAGTTGGTTCTAAAGTTGGTGTGCAGAGACGTCAAAATGTAAAATGATTCTTTGGGTCAGTGTTGTATTTTAATTCAGTTGTTTCCACTGTGTGAAGTATATACTGTATATAGTACATGGTAATGGTGTCTTTCTGATAAAACTCCCGACGCCTTGTGGGCAAAATAAAAAAACAAAACAAAAGAAAAACAACTTCTGTTCTGTTCGAGACAGATTGTGCATTCATGTAGAACCAATGACGTGTCACTAAAACAGCATGATGTACACAAGCGGATTTTGTTTGTTGTCTGTACACCAAATGTTTTGAAAAAAAAAGCATAAACATATATATCTAGGCTCTTTGAATGACAAAGTAAAAGTTTTTAGTAGTTTCTGCCACTGCTTTTATCAGACTTTCTTTTTTGTTATTGAGGTATTTTGAGGTTCCTGCCGTGTTCCTGTGACAGCTGACCTTCTTTGTGACCTGGTGTCTGTGTTTTGTTAGGCTGAGAATGTATGATATATGCATTGCTTCTGAAAAGGTCAGGCGAAATCGCTTCCTCAGTCTTGAATGATACTCTGACGCTATTTGCCTGGCATTCACTGCTGGAAATGTATTCCGAGTCATATG